TTCCATCTTCTAAAATATAAAGCTTTTAAGAAGTTAGCTAACGCCGCCGCCGCCGCCTCGCTATCCCTATGTCGAGCTTTCTGCGACAAAAGTCGCAGGCTCGACAAAAACCTTTAACGAAGCAATTTCTTACAATAAGTTATTGTCAATTTCTAATCAAGGATCCCCTGGCCTGGACTTCATATGGACATGGATACTATGATGTATATCTCACTTTACTAAAAGATATCCTCATTGTAAACTACCCCATGTTGAACACATTTATTGTTCAATGACAAGACTTCCTTTTCTTCACAACAGTACATAAGGTCAGTAGATGGCATAGATCAAAGATAAAATTGTACTACTTAATCCCCCCATAAATCACATAAGGATTAAAGATCAATGGGGGAGATCACAACAAATATCACCCAGGCCTCCAGGACAGACAAAACAAATGCACCTAGACAACACCTGACATCAAAGAAAACATCATTTTAACACAATGATGGTCTCCATATCTATTTTTATTGCAAAAATATATTTCAATAGGAAATCGGTGAACTTGCCATGATTGAAATTAGAAGATTATAAAAACAGTTTGTGCAGTATTGTATTTCAGTCAAGTAATTTTCCAAACTTCCTCCCAAAATAACCTTACATGTGCTAGTAACCTAATTAAACAATGTAGACGACCTCAATACCAAAATAAATGCCATCACTGCCCAAAATTAAAATAAACAAACATTGCCTCCCTTATGATTAGGTCTGAGGTTAACTACATTGTATCAATTTAAAAGTTTTCTTTGACATTAACCCCACCTTTGTTTACACTGCACTTATAGGATTGTATTAAAGTAAATATACAACTAAATGTAAACATTAAATGTGTATCAACTCATATCAAAATTATGATAAAACATTTAACATCTAAACATGTCTTTGTTTTGTTTCTTCCCACATGTTTATCTAAAGAAGAAATGTACACATCATAACATTTCACCATTGCACTACAAGAACATATGTACAGTACATATGTTCTTGTAGTGCAATGGTGAAATGTTATGATGTCTGTACAGTCAAATACATTTCTAAAAAAAATGGTACATGTGTATTGTTTACACTTAGCATTGAACACCATCAAATTCAACAGTTTTAAACTTTATTCCAAATGCAAGATTTATTTTAAACGTTTACATGTTATAAAAATATTTTCTCCTTAAATAAAACTATGTTAATGTTACCAAGTTTCAACAATATTATTATTTAATATGGTACTATCATCATTGTAAAGGCAGAACAGTGACCTATAGTTGGTTACATTTGTACATACATGCATACATGTATGCACATCATTTGGACTCTCATGGATAAGCTAACAAGTATCAGAGTTATGAGTGTGACCAAAATCACTTTAATTCCCTTCTGATTTTGTTTTATCTTAAAAGTATACAGACTTAGGATATATCATGTACTATCCTAGTAATGTCCATAATGTATTATTGCAAATGTACAGTGTAAAATTTTAATTCCTAAATCATATTAACTGCTTCAATCTTAGTCCTTATTATTTTTCTTATTATCAGTTCATTGACACACCTTATAACGGATTGCGAAATGAAAATAAAAAAGACATTCTATTCAAAACCAAAAATTAAAAGTATAAAACATGGGTAAATGTCTTTTATTACTTATTATGTTGTGTTATTTTGATAATATTCATTTAACTGAACCAATACAATTAACGGTCCTTTACATTCAAAAACTGAAAATATAAAAATTAAAGTGAAACAGTCCTTCCTTTTGCTATATGACAACAGGGGCACATGATCGAATCCATTTGGTCTTAATCAAAATCATTAACATAGGTGTGATGCATTGATTTACTGTTCAGTTGCAGATCCAGTAATTAAATCAATCAATTTCATCATTTAATGGGCACAAACTTTTATTAAAAGTTTTAAAACTGATATTAAAATACTGATCAAAACATGACTACAATGACTTTCATTTCTCTTTTGAAAGGTTCATTTCTCCATTGACATGATTGAAATGTTCAATCAATGTTATTCTTGTTACAATAGAAGCTGTAATGAATTTTATTGGAAAAGTTACTGTAATGTTTTTTAATTTTAGAGTTGTTCCTTAAATTTTGAGAATGGTGGGTAAAATCTAACTGACAAGGGTGATGCAAATGACAGAGAAAATATTGTTCATTGGTAAAGTACAACAAAACTACTTTTCTGACACTTCCTAAGAGCTTCTTAAAGTACAAAAAAAATGTACATGTACAAGGCACTACATGTCAATTGAATAATGTATCATTGTCTGTAGATTTATATTCATGTGCATGTGTACATCATGACCTAGATCAATATTGATTGACTGCTCTCAGCACAAAAGGTTATTTCATGGCGGTCAGTTTTTATTGGTGGAGGAAGCCTGAGTGCCAGGAGAGAACCTCTGACCTTCAGCAGGAAAACTGACCATCCTAGTCAATAAAGATTGGAGTCAAGCACACCTACATGTACCATGAGCGGGATTCGAACTCACAACCTCAGTGTTGACAGGCTAGTGATACAGTTACATTGAGTAGTTGGGACTACTTAGACCAATCGGCCACCAAGGGCCCTATCTGGATCAATAGCAATTCTTCTTACTGTGGAAGCATGGAATTTGTGACCTAGCACTTTTAATTTAGTTTAAAAGTGAATTCATATGTTTTTGCTTTTGAGAACATGTTATATACATGTATGAGCTTTGAATGATTATGCATGATTGAAAATTAATAAGGACAACATGGTTTTCTATTTATTCCAAAAAAAATATACATCAGAAAAAGAGTAGAAACAGAAAAAAGTAGGACTTGAAGGTGGAGAGATTTGCCCAACCTAGTGGAAAGCTTTGCCCAGCCCAACACTCACAAGCCTGACAATCCACAATCCATATCTTAGGGCCTGGTGGCACAACTTTTCTCTAAATTGCAAGTATTCTGTGATTCTTTTTTTTTTCACTGTAAATATATTTGTAAGTCTTCTCTGTGCTTATATGGACATGCTTGGTACATGTAAGCTCAAAGAGGCACTGGAGAATTAAATTTTCAGTTTGGTCTACATGTATGAAGTTTGCACTACATGTACATGTGTATCTGCAAGTTTGATCTTCAATATTTTTTTCAATGTTTTTGTCATCAAGTCTGGTTAGCAGAGGTGATTTATTTACATTTCTTATCCAGAGTATTCCAGACCCCTTTAATTTCTGCAATAGTCCCCTTGTTTCACTGCCTTTGTCTTCATCATATTTAATCCAAAGCATTAATCATATTGATTTTATACTAGATCTTATTATTAACCAAAGGCAGACTTCTAATTGGCCTATAAGATACAATGTACATGATATGTATGTACAATGTACCATTATTCTTTTCCTCATCTCTATATGACTGAAGCATATATATTTTGAATCTGCATACTAATGGACCAGACTTCCTCTGAACTTCCCTTTCATATATTCATTACCGTGAAAGACTTCTTGTACCGTTCATAGCCATATTGTGATACCATGAGCTGCAATGTTCTTCTAATATCAAATACTGGTTATAATAACAACAATATGTACATGTAATTACACTTCGTTACACTTGCATGAGATGAGGTGAAAAAATAAATAAAGGATCTTCAAATTTTTTCACACAATTTTGGTCATTTTGAGATGACTTGAAAGTTAGGTTGTTTTTTTCAAACTGTCGGATTCATACTAGATTCAGGGCATTAAAGTAGATGTACATGTATATACAATTTCTCTGCATACTGTTTTTAGAAAACATGCAAGAACAACTTATGGAACACAAGGGTTTAAAATTGAAATAATTTTAATGACTTAAAACTGTAAATACCATGCTACATTTGATTTAATTTTGAGAAACAAAAAACCAGAAGTTTCAAGTTAATCATATAAATTACAAGTGATTCCAGATTCATTTAACAGTATGATCTGTTTATCAAAAGGCAGACAATTTTCGTGTTCTCTAACTTTATTACCTGTATACATTTTTTTGTTGCAAGTGTTTGAATATAACTGAATATGGTTAACATTGAATAGTTTAATTTGGCATGAAATAATTTTGCATCTTACAATTAAGTGTCTGATTGGATGAAGACAGTTGCACGCATACATATTGAAAATTAAGCACATTTTTGGCTAGTGAAAAATTACTTATGAAGCAGCTCATAATGGAATAGAATTTCTTTACTATAATGTCAGTTCCGAGTTTGATCACTATGGTCAGGTATGAGAACACAGGTAAAAAGTGATTAGCGATCATTAGCCAATATCTCCCAGGGAGCATTCATATGGTAATTAGGAATTCGAAGGCCCTGCTGATTATCATACTACATTGTATACCAGTGCACCAGTTTTAGGGACCCCAGTTTTATCAGATGAAAAGCATTGTAAAACAAAATTGCTGATTAAAAAAACTGATTTTGATGAAATGACCAACATTATTTCTGTAAAATTAAAATTTTGTGACCTTTATCCCATTTTGGTCACTGATGACCTTTCAGATTTTGTCATGTCTGTTTCCAGACCCTTACTTTAAATGTATTATCAAGGCATTTCATATAAAAAAAAATAAGCAAACATGAATCAATGTGAAAATGAATAATAAAAATTATTTTTTGTAATTTGACAGACACTCTTGGTGATTAAATTTACAAGACATGAACAAGTTTGTTTACATCTGAAAAAATGAAATTAATAATAAAAAAACAAAAAACAACAACAAATTTGTTAGGGCATAAGAAAACACAATAAAAGGTAAATAAATATTCTCTGTAATTTTCTTTTGCCCTCCTGTTTTGAGCCTCAACTCTTTTAATCTGGTTACACCTGAAAAAGTAATCTTCTTACCCATTTTTTAACTTTGCAAACAAAACAGAAATTGGTATAAACTGATTCACTGATTATGAACACACACTTTTATAAATGATGCATATACACATGTAGTTTTATTTACTCACTTTATATAGTAAAGTTGTCCGTCTGGAGTTCTTGCCTTTTCCCAACCTTGAGGCAGAGGGGGTTCGTTGTCTAACATTGAGTCACATGAATGTTGCCTTGCATGTTGATGCTGTGGAGGATTTTGTGGAATAGTGGATAATGGCTGCAAACTTGCAGGTGATGAATGCGCCCTTGTATGCACTGGAGGTGCAATTATGTTAGGTCCAAAACCTGTTGAATCGTTACTACCTTGTTTTGAGTGACCTGACTGTTGAGAGTTTGGTGGTGTAAAAAAAGAAGCTGGGAAATTACGCATTTTCATAGGCACTTGTCCTGTTTGTCCCGAGCGGGACGGGTTCATAGCAACATTAAATAATTCTTCGAGTTCGTTCCCACTGTTGTCCCGGACGTGTATCACCTGATTACCTTTACGCTGCGTTAAATCCGACTGTTGGGACATTTTGGCGAAATTTATGAAAATCACAACACTAAAAACCGAAAAATATCCTACTCAGCTAAGACAAAAACATTTCTAGAGTAAGCGAAACTAGTTACATATCCTTGAAGATTTCCTGAGAACTTTTCTTCTTGTCGGACACCATTGAAGTTTTACGAAAATTAACCCTGTGACGAATCACAACCAGGTTTAACAGGTTCCCCTCATCCGCGGGACAAAATAGTGCACTATAAACTATTGGTTTTCTGAATCAATCTTATGTAGATGATGTATATTCAATATTGGTTTTGTTTAAATGCAAAGAAGCTACCGTTTTCTTATTTGTTTTTCTTTATTGACATTTTATATCTTAAGTTGTACGACAACACTACCAATGTGAATTGCGTATGTTTTAGCACCTTGTGACGTCACAGGAAATTATGTCAATGGTGACAAACTACATAGTATATTTTGTAAACAATTTTTGACATAGTGATATAAATGTATTACATGTAAAGATGGAACATTATTTTGTATTTTTATATGAATAATTTGATGCAAGTTTTTTTTTTACAATTGGATATCCATGCTTAGATTCCCCTTGAAAGGCCCATTAATCCTTATAAGGGCCTTGTTTTATTGTGAATATGTCAATCAATCAATGGCCGAGTTTTGATAAGTAGTTCAGTTGAATTTTACTGCGTGGGTGGGGACTTCAAATGGTGAATCATTCTTTAAAATTACTACTTTTACAACTTTTTTACAATAACTTTCACACAGAAAGGCGTTAGACATATATTATTCATTGCTGACAGAAAATCTGACATATTTTTTTTTTAAATTCTTATCAGCATCTTTATCCAAATTTGTTATATCTGAGTCATAACAAAATTAAGAAAAACGCATAACGATACCAAAAGTCGACCCTCTTTCGTTAGATAAACACCTGGCAGAGGATTGAAAAAAAAAGAACAACAATACAAAAGTCCCTCAATTTCAATATTTTCAGAATTGAAAATTAGTTTAACCAATATATACCGTATATAGTCTTCAAAGATATTAAACGTCTCAGCTTTGACAAAGCGAAAGATAACTATTTGGTATTTTGACCGCAAACTGACAAATATGTTCAAAGGTGTTTAACTTAAGTTCCCTTAGCAAAAAAATTCAATGTTCCGATGTCAAAAATTAAAACTGAGAGCTCACAAGTTATTTTGCCTACGGTGAAAATGTTTGGACAGTCTTATATGCATTACTAATTTATAGAAAGACTTTGTTAAGTTAAAAGGGAGAAATATATCATCAATATGACAGGGTAATTTGTATTTTTGTGTTTAATTTCAATTTCTTGAATCCTAGCAGAGAAATGTGGGGTGGGGGTGGAAGGGGGGGGGGGGGGGGGGGGGGGGGTGCGGATTGCATATCCAGCACTTTCATCTGTTGTTATGTTTAATTTTTTTCCGCGCAAAAATTTGTTTCCAATTTTGTACACATCAGTGGTTTCCTTATTTTGGGTTGCAGGATATTCTTATACATCCTCGGCTTTCAAATATCCGCTTTTGAGCGTTCCCGATGAAGGTAAATCCAGAAAAGCGCTTCGGACGCATGAAATTAATAACTTGTTGTTTTCATTTTTTTTATTCATTCCATCCTGTTTTCGGTTCTTACCAGGCTAGGATATTCATTTTCAAAATCCTCCTGTCCATTACTCTAGAAGGACAAACAAAAACAATGTAAAAAATCGAAAGGGAGCTTTCTTTTATTACTTCCAACAATATTTCAGGAAATCCGGCATTGCAGGCACACTGGCGTTTGTATGCGACAAGAGAGACAGGGTTTAAGCAGAGACATATATATACATGTGTATATATATCTCTGATTCAAGTGGTAAAAGTCCCGTAACTTTGGAACCACAAACCAGGTAATTAAAATAATCGAAAAACAGCTTCCTTTTATCAATCCAAACAATAATGTAAAGTTTTTTTGAAGAAATCAATCCAGACATACTGGAGTAAGTGGGTGATATGTGAAAATTTGTCTTAATTCAAATGGTTAAAGTCCCATAACTCCGGATCAACAAAACCAAAAATTTTCAAAATTGAAAGGAAGCTTTCTTCCATCATATGAAATCCTAGTGTTGTGTTAATGTGTTAAAATTACATGAGAATTAGTTCAAGCAAATCATGTTTGACTGGTTATCGTTTGAAGTGTCGATGGACCGTGACGGATGGACATTGGTATACCATATAAATGTATCCATATCCTTTCTTTTGAATAATAAAAATTAAAATGTGTAAAAAACTGTTAATGTTAGAAATTTCATGTACATTTTTCTCTCGTGTACTGTACTGGTGGTCATCAATTATATTGCCCAGACTATGCAGAAGTTGCGTGCATACACAATTTTGCAATAGATATATATGTTGTGTACAAGTTGTCATTTTGTACAAGTTATAATTTGTACAAATTATAATTTGTATGTTAATTTGTACAGTAATTTGTATGTTAATTTTGTACAAATTGTAATTTGTTAAAAAAAATGCCTGTACAAATTACCATTTGTACAAAATTTGACTAAAATTCACTTTTAATTTGTTAAAAGGATATATGATGATTTAATATGGTTTAACATGAACATGATTTAACATGATATGAATGGTGGCCTTTTATTTATTTTATATATGACGATCAAGATGAGCAGGGAGCGTGTGCTGCATGTCTGGCCAACAGACCCAAGTCGAATTATTTATATCTTACCAAGAAAACGAAACGGAAATTATCAGAACTTACTGTGGGGATTATGCCGTCACTATACCCATTCCTCAGAATGATCATGCCTCAACTCATCCTCGAAATATCTTAGGCATAATTGTTGAATCTGGAGAGTTTGGGATCAGCTGTAGGAATTTTATCATGATATTTGTCTAGTAATCAAATCGAAGCTGTTAAAAACACATGTTTATTCGTAGCAACTGTTCCCGAGGTTCAACTTTCGCTACGTGAAGCAGTTAGTAAAAACATATAGAAACTAGTGGTAAGGGGGTTTCTTTCATGTAAATAAAAAATTGGGGTGCTGCACTTCTAAATATAATGTGAAAAACAAAAGATGTGTTGCAATTCCCGTTGTCATAATTCACTCAAATAAATGATACAGAACTATTTTTTGTATTTTGTAAATAAAGTTTATTGTGTGGTCATTAAAATAAAAATTAAATAGTGTATCAATGTTTTTTTTAACCAATCCATATTATTAATTATTGTACAAATCATAAGTGAATTTTTTCAAATTTTGTACAAATTATAATTTGTACATGCACTTTTTGGACAATTTACAATTTGTACAAAGTCAAATTACAAATTATAATTTGTACATTTTTCGTGTACAAAATGATAACTCGTACTCAACATATATATATGTATTACATTTACTCGTTTTTTTGTTTTCTATAGAATCTGATGTGTATATATTACACTTTGGTATATGAATATGCCTTTGCAAGATTTTGTAACTAAACTTTAACTGGATGCAGCTTCGCAATCCTATATGTATGAATATGCCTTTGCAAGATTTTGTAACTAAACTTTAACTGGATGCAGCTTCGCAATCCTATATGGTTGAATCGTGCATCTGTTGGTAAAATCAGTTATCTAAGATGTGTTCAATTTTTTATGGAAATATTCTTTATAAAGCACAAAAATGTCAGTATTCACCTCTGAAACTAACAAAACCTTTAAATAGACTTATTAAGAAGGGATATAGTTACGATACTGTTGTCAGGTCATTAAAGATTGCATATTTTGGCGTTGATATTGATTCACTTATAGGGTCTTTGCATCTGCACTAAACACATTTATTTAAAAACCAGTTGTTGGCATGACACGGGTTATGTTCTTCTCATATATGTTATGATGGTATGATACTAAACCCCTAACGGGAAGGATTGTGCCTGATATTCATATGATGAAGACATAATCTTTCAATCAGTTTAATTGAAGTCTGGAGCTGGCATGTCAGTTAACTGCTAGTAGTCTGTTGTTATTTATGTATTATTGTCATTTTGTTTATTTTCTTTGGTTACATCTTCTGACATCAGACTCGGACTTCTCTTGAACTGAATTTTAATGTGCGTATTGTTATGCGTTTACTTTTCTACATTGGCTAGAGGTATAGGGGGAGGGTTGAGATCTCATAAACATGTTTAACCCCGCCGCATTTTTGCGCCTGTCCCAAGTCAGGAGCCTCTAGCCTTTGTTAGTCTTGTATTATTTTTAATTTTAGTTTCTTGTGTACAATTTGGAGTTTAGTATGGCGTTCATTATCACTGAACTAGTATATATATTTGTTTAGGGGCCAGCTGAAGGACGCCTCCGGGTGCGGGAATTTCTCGCTGCATTGAAGACCTGTTGGTGGCCTTCTGCTGTTGTCTGTTCTGTGGTCGGGTTGTTGTCTCTTTGACACATTCCCCATTTCCATTCTCAATTTTATCTTGCAATTTTTTTACGGGGTTGTAAAATTGTACTTAGCCATTAACAATTTGCAGGGGAAATTATCCACCTTTGACTTGATAAAACAACACAGGAGATCAGGTTTACAAGGTCTTTCAAATTCAATCACTGAATTGCCGGATAGTTCACTTGAATAATCTCACAACCACCAATTCCGGAAACTCTTTAAAAGTGGGCACTTAACCGAAAGTGCTACTTGAAGTACTTTAAGTGTTTACAAACAATAGTTTTATTCATTTTACGTCTCGCACGTACCTTTTTGTATTGCTCTTATTTACAAAGCCTCCTATAGAATAAAATAAATTCGTGACAATAGAAATTGTCCGATTTTTCAATTAACTCATCCATCAGGAATTTACCAGCATAAATGACAACCTACAGACAGCAACCAACAGCACAAACTAACACAGACATGTAACGGTATGATATAGACTCCTACAAATATACAGCCACCCATGACGTTTTTGACCCATTTGTGAATAAATTGAAAAGGGGCGACGGAAAATCTAAATCATTATAACTATAATACATTTATGATACTTTTCCTAGACACTAATTAGAAAGTTATTTGGTAGCGATCGGATCAGGAGTGTATGTAATCAAACAAACAAAAAATATTTTGAATACAGAATACTGGATTGAATATCGGGTTGATGCATGGTGTACGTTCCGAACGGAGCACATCGCGGAGCGTAGAA